TTCAAAAGCGCCGTCATTATTTAATTTTAAGTTGTCTGGTAACTTTTAAACTTGTCGTTCAAACTTGAACTTTTCTAACTTTTTAAGGTATAGGAGACGACTGTGCTGCTTTGACTCACGGGGAAAAATACTTTAATTTAGCCAAAAAAACTGGACAAGTTCACCTTATACAACTTGCGTTTCATGTTTACGGATGGTTGCAGTTTCAAGTCTATTTAAATTCAGGCGCTAAAAACCAGAAGTTGCTCTTAGAGGTAGTTTAAGATTGTGCTCGTTAGGTTGTTTTTCATAAGGCACAGTAAACCTGTTGTCAATTTCAGAGCAAAGAATGGTGCGAAAAAGGTTTGGCTTTCTTAAACAAAAACGCTGTTGCTATTGATTCGGATCCGAAGTACGACTTTTGAAATTTGTATGAGTTAATGTAGTTTTACTCTAATATTATGGTATTTTGTTTGTTAAGAGCAGTTAGAATTGGTCAGAATTCTAAAGCGAGAAGAGCAAGACTTCGCCAAGTTTTATCTCAGATCTGTGATAAATTGGGAGACTCCAGTCAGGCACTTTCTCACCATAACGCAGCTTTTGCCTACGCTGTGTTAGTTTCTGTCTTTCGATTACTAATGGTTACAAAGTGATTGCAGTATGGAGTTGATCGAATTTTGCCGTCGTTTTGCCTTCTTTATCATGTTATAAATTTGATTTGAGTAAAGAAATTTTAGTAGGGAAGAAGACTTCGATTTGCAATATCGGTGCTTATTGTCAAAGTTGTACTATGTTGGAAATCAGCGCATTAAAACTGCAGTTGACCTTGTACATGTTGCTTCCAATTTAGGCCCGAAAGAAAGTGCTGATGCGAAGTTTATTCTGGCGCAGGTTAGGTTAGCCCTTACTAGCTCTCTTTAAGATTAGTAGTCTCATTGTGCTTTTTGGCTGTGTTAATCATAGTGAATCTAAGGGTAGAAGACGTTTAGCGCTCAGTAGGACCATCGAGCCAAGGTGGAGGGATTTAGTTTAAGTTTTTCTGAATAACATCATTATACTTTTAATATTTTGTTCAAACTAGTGTTTTAATATTTGC